TTTTTATTCTTCGTTTTTTTGTTTCATTCTAAAAGCATAAACTTGAAGAAGCCGGTAATGAACAAGTCTTGGTGGGTAAACAAAACACTTAAATGGAGTCGAAATACTTGTGTTTTATAATATACTTCACTAACAACCATAAAAAGCATTACTCCAGTTTTAACCATTAAAACCTAATTACTACAGTAAAAAGCTTGCATGACCTTTGTTTTTTTTCCTGAGAGGTTTTCTAGTAATTGATTTATACACAACCATCTTCACCTTCATTATTTTAATGGGTGATAGTGGGAATAACCCAGATTAGCTATAGGGTCGTTGTTTCCTTCTAACAGTGACGACTGATGGGACGGGGTGGAGGTAATCTGGAAATATTTATCAGGGGACGACGTTTCCCTTTCTTTTGTTTCCAAAATTTCATCCTTGACACAGCAATTTGATGCACCTCAGAAAGAACCTGGTCCGACTTCCCCCCCCCCCCCCCTCCCTCCCGTCCCCATTTTCAAAATTTTTAATTTGATAGTGAGAGCATAGCCTGTGTCCTCCTAGAAAATGTTGTGGCCCGTGCTCGTCCCCTTCAACTAATTTTTTTTCTAGAAACGCCTATGTACTTGTTCCCATCACCTAATATAACATAGAAATACCAATGCCTGGAAAAACACAATGAAACAACAAGATTAGCATTTTAATCAGATTGTCGACAAGTAACAAAGGTTTTAATACATAACCATCTTTAAATGTGCCAGAGTTCAAAATTATCGGATGTTATCACTTTATTTGTTAATGTTACAGAACGAATTTCTTCAGAAAGCAAACAGAATCCGTTAATTTCTACCGATAAACTTAAGTTTAAATTGCTTTTAACCGGAAACTCTGGAGATCATTTTCCTAACTTAGAAACTGTAATCAACTTTCTCGTTTTACCACAAAAGATAAAACTTTAATATCAGCGTATCGAGAACAGATTGCTAACTTTCGAAATCGACGATCTGTTCTGAGACTAGTATTAACCTGCTAAATAAATAATGGTTTTATAATTACAATGGAATGGAGTTTTGCGTCCTATTATCTGCTCCTGGTTGAGCTATTGAAGACGGGCAACAGTTGCATTTGAAAAGTCTACTCTAAAATTTTGGTTAAGATAGATTTGTGTCTATTTCTTTATGACTGTAAATAGCTCCCTTAAAACAGGCTTTAGATTTGGGGTTCTATACGGCCACAACCTAATAATCCCTTATGATTTAAAATTTGAACGGTGCATCTCGATTCTACCAGTGTCCCCGATAATATACAATTTTTAGAAAACATCTTTATTATTCCTTCAAGTGCTTAAAAGCTACGTGTGATGTAACTCACGTATAAATGAACACGGAGTGAGTGATTAAAATGGATATAGAAGGCTCCAACTAAGTTTAAAATGTCATTAATGTTTGAAAAAAAGCAAATCTGCAAGAAACAAACTGAGTTCAGTAATTCCAAATGACAGCTTTGATCTCAAATAATTGATTACTTCCGGCGTAATCGGAAGTACTCAATTTTAAATCCGTAGAGCTTTTTTTTTCTCCTTTTGACACACGAAATAATACCGCCATAGATTGAGATTTGATGAAAGTTCGTTGAAGAGACCAGTGTTAATTTAGTATTCAGTGTTTTTATTTTTTTTCATGTAAATCAACAATCAAAGTTCATGTATAGTTAATGATGGAATTCGGGTATAAAAATGTTGGCAATTTGCGTAGTAAACCATGTCTCCTATGGAATCATTTAACATACTTTTTTCTCTGGCATATAAATAAAAAATCAAAGTACTTTGGGCAATTGGCGTTCATTTTTTAACAATAATCAAATTGGTTGGCCATGCCAACTATATGTATGCACGCGCAACACGATAATTCCCTACTCCCGCCTCGGTATAAACAACGTTATAAACAACATGACAGTCTATGGAAAAGGATCTCATTCCAAGGGTTTACTACATATTATCAAATCATTATATTATAACCTTAATCCATCGCTGGCCATAGACTGACATGTTAAGTCAACGTTGCTTATATCGAGGCTTTGCGCATGCGCACGTTTATTCCTAACTGGCTTATAACGAGAGTGTATACCTTTAAAATATAAACTTTAACAAAGTTCCGGACAGGAAATGTGCAGTCATTTTGTGGAATTTCACGCCATGATTCTATCAAAGATTTCTCTCAACTCGGTAGGAATCTTGAGAATTTCCGCTCCTTCCTCACGATTCGCCTGCCACCAGAATATAATAGTCGACCATAGAATAGAAACCAGCATGAAAATTGGTTAAAAATTTCCGCGAGTAAATGAGGACTACTTTATTTTGTGCTACCCAGCTGTGACAGATTTTTATAAGACTGAGGTCCTAATGTAGATTTTAAAAGCTTTAGAGTCTAAAGCCTTGTTTACACGATGAATTTGCATAAATGGAAATTTACATACTTGAGCAATCAGAGGAGTAACCATCGTTGTTTCAACCACGCCCTTTTTAACACTACATTGGACCGTTTTTCACGTTATGAAATAACGTCGTATGACGCGGTGAATTTTAAAGCCTTTTTTATACGATGAATTTGCATATATGTAAATGTACACTCTTGAGTAATCATCGGAGTAATCATCGTTGTTTAAAACCACGCCCTTTCTCAATAAATAGATGTTGTTCCATTATGAAACAGCTTCATATGAGACGGTAAATTTAATCCAAGCAAAACAGGTCTTTGGATACAAGAGGAGTGGTAAGCATGTTGTTCAAGAGTTTTCATATTTACAAAACTAATCATCAAAATGATTATGTACGAGAGTGTTGATTGGCCGGTTTAAAAAAAACGATAACGTGTTGATAATACGAAGCTGGGATACATGCTAACTGTATTTAAAATAGGTTGTGTCTATACGGCAAAAATTTGTACATGTGCAAAAATATACATGCCTCTCCAAACATGGTCATATAATCTATAATCATTGATTAAAATTCAATGTTTTGCGGAAATCACTACAACAAAGGGCCTAGTTGTTCTGTCTCTACACCAGCCGATATCTTTCAAAATAGCTAACAGAAGCTGGAATAGAGGCAGATGTTCGGTCTAACCCATTACGTGTGAGAAAGGGCGACCTACTAATACAAATATTCAATTGGACATGACTGCAAGTCTCTTAATCCTATCCACCACTCAGGACCACAAAAAGAAACTGGCACACCATTTCTGAGTCTTCTACAGTGGAATGTCAGGATATTAAGCTAAACTAACACCCCACGTCTGTCTTTAGATTTTTTATAATACTTTTACTTCTAAGAAAGGAATATAACTTTCGATTATCCTTACAAAAATAGAAACATTCTCCATGATATTATTTTTAGATGGTGTGCTTTCCTCCGAATGAACTTTTAATGACTTGTTTTGTAAGGATGAGAAGTAAACAGTTTTTAATGAACTTTCTTTGTCTGTAGTTTTATCACAAAATCTAAAATGAAATTTAAAACCAATGAAACGCTGGCATAATTTGATTTTCAGTCAACTGCTATTTCTGAAAACAAAACAGTGTGTTGTTTTTTAACACACTGTAAATATCTGGTATATATTTGAACAGAGGAAAAGTGGCAACTAGTAACTGCCACACTTTTCTGTATCGTACCTTATACAAACAATCTGTAAAATCTTGTCTATTTTAGACCGTTTATTTGATAAACATAATTCCTCCCTGGCTTCAGAAATAAAATAATAATGAAATGAACTGAACTGCGTTCTATTTTGCTGCATCTGTTTGAGCAATCGAGCTGTACTTGACCTCTGTCATTTCAAGACATTTCAGACAATTGTCTGTTAGTTTCTGAATAATTATGAATTTAAATGATTTTAAAAGAGACAGGTTCGCCATTGTTTTTGATCAATCATACTAAAGTCTTTGATAATCTAATCAGTAATAGGGTTATCTAACATACATAGAAAGTAAAATTACTAGTTTGAGGTATTTCTGATGGAATTAATAGATTGCCGTACATTTCCAGTACTTCTGAAGACATATTCAAGACCGAAAATCATCCCCCGAAAATGGTTAATCTGTCCCTTTAAAAGTGTAATTTGTATCAAAACGTCTTTGGATTTTTGTAGATTGATGAATTACGGTGAATTTTTACAGTGTATACAGTATAACAAATCGTCTCATTATTTTCTGTATTATGATAAAATTATCAGAATAGAATCCGTCTCCAGACAAATTAAATAAAATATCTCATATTTTCCTATTGAAATTACTGATTGTTTCCAATTGAAGACTGAAATCAAATCAAATTATCTTTCAAAGAAAAGTGACACGATTTGAAACTGTATATTATATCGTGTTCAATTCCATGTTCTCTGCCATTTCGTACCAGTACAAAAAGGTATATAGTCCTATAGAAAAAGCCGTGGCGGCGGCAGAACTTTGGAGTTGTGGGGACCACCGGCAAATTATTTTCAAATCCATTTAAGGGGGTAAGGGCTTGTTCCCCAAAGAAAGAAAATTCGAAAGTATATTTATATGTATATATTATTTTATTCTTAAACCCTGCATTTCATGCAAGTTCAAAGAATATTTTTCCAAAATCATTTATATGAATTTTCAAAATCAAGATGGTGGCCAGAGTGGGCCAATGTATTATGCTCTCCACCTAATCTGGATAATGCGTGAATACGTCAAGAAAGAGAAATTTGAATTACTTAAGCGGAATTTGCATTTCCCATCAATAAGTCGTTTTATACTTCTAGACTAGACGATACTCGCGCATTTTGTTGTCTGGCCTAATTACAATTTACTTTACAGGCTGTGTAGATCCCTCGACAGTTGGAAATCGAACAGGAGTAGGTTTATGATACTGTCCTGTTAGAATTTAACCCATTGCACAATTTTTGATGGTTCTTATTAGATAAAACAGGTGTAGAAAAGTAGGTTTTATTTAATTTATTAAAATGTCATTATATTTTATATCATTCTCTATTTTTCAGCCTTGCCACCAGAATTATACACAATATGGGAAGCCTATCCTTGGATATTCGGAGAACCGTTCTGTATTTTCAAATCTTTCCTAATGGAACTAACCGCATACGCCTCGATCTTAACGATTACAGCCTTTACGTGTGAACGCTACGTAGCTATAGTTCACCCAATGAGAGGACAGAAAGTGTCGGTGTTATCACGTGCCGTGAAAGTGATAGTGTTTATATGGATAGTATCCGGATTGTGTGCGCTTCCTTACCCTATACACACTCGGATATATCATTTTGTGACTGACCCTCGTAATGGGCAACCCATCCGTGATTCGTTACTGTGTAACATACCCTATGAATGGGTACAGAAGATGACGTACATGTTTCAGATTTCCACCTTTGTGTTTTTTGTGATACCAATGACTGTGATAACCGTGATGTATATTCTAATCGGGATGAAATTACATCAGAAAGAAAAAATAACCTCCAATGTGAACAATCCATTGGTGGGAAAAACTGCGGCTGCTCGAGCGAGAAAAGCAGTTTTGAAAATGTTAGGTGGGTACAATAGTATTTTTTCAAAGCATTTAGATTCGTATTTCTTGTATTATTTCTCATCAATGTAATTTATATTTATCTATGTAGCCATATATATTCAATGTTGTTGGATTTGAATCGGTTTCTGCGATTTGGACTGAAAACCTAATACTAATCAAGTGTTTATAATAGCAGGATATGATTGTCGTGACCAATCGACCTATTGGTTAGTCGTACGAAGTCTATGCTATGGTGTTGAACGCGCCCGACTAAAACCATTAGATCAAAACATATGTTCTAACATTTAATCCTAAGCTAACATGAAAGGAAATAGACCCAAGTCTGTGGTAAAATCATCGTTTATTTCAAATGATATCATAACAAGTTCCAAAGTGCATATTCAAACGATTCGCTAAGCTCTATATTGCATATCAAATACTTTAACCTTTATAATTATCATGTAACGCGGACCGCAGAGAAAGCACTATTCAGGGTGACTTACTGCAAATTGAATTGCTTCTTTCCTCCTGGTGAATGACCTGCATGCTGAATTGCATGTTTTTATTTTAGTAAACTCTCGGAATAAGTTAATGTATTGGAACTGCGATGTTAAAAAGATCTGTGGACACTCTAAGATTTGACATTTTAGGACCATTTTTATGATTTTTGTAATTTTCTCTTTTTCAAGTCATGTAAAGTCGATGGCATCAGAAAGAACCTCTCAGAAACCCTCATCACTCTTAGTGATTTTTAATCCTTAAGCAACATCAAACTTTATAGCATAAAAGGGACAGGTGTGTAAATATTCTTCAGAAGTACTAGAAATGTACAAAAATACGCTAAATTCCTTCAAAAATATCTCAAACTAGCCATTTCTTTTCCTATTTATAAATATGGCAGTGTCTTAAGAAAAGACGACTCGTCTTTTTAACTTTTACATGCGACAATTCTGGACACACATGGTTTTGAAGGCCCAATTGTGAGCTGTGAACATATTATTGATTGGCTTAGCTGAAAAAAATTTGTTTCTGATACTAAAGTATGATTGATAAAAAAAATGTCGCATCTGTCCCTAAATATAGCAAAAGGACTCCTCAGGTCGACAAAAATAAAACCCATAACGTGACATTTTATATAAAAAACACAGAGCTTGTTAACAGTCCAATATTCTATGCCATCAAAACAATTACAAATAATTCTCTGTCGCACTTTGATCATAGAATCTAATTTCATTAAATTATTTTAGAAACAAAAATATAATTGAGTTTCTTTGATCACCTTGACGCCAATTCTGATATCTGCGCATGAAAATAAATTAATAATGAAAAAAAAAATGCCCGTCGTCATCATTTAAAGGGACCAGTTCGCCATTTACCTTAGTCTCCGAAACGGGGATCCCATTTTCTTAATAAAGTATTTGTTTCATTTTATGCCTGTACATATGGGAAAACCCTCCCTACTACTAAAACTAATGGTGATCCACAGCTCACCATCGTTAGAAACTTAACGAAAAAAAAAAACGGAATGCCTCTTTACCTGAAGCCGACTAAATCCCTGAAGCATTACACCGGTATAAATGGGAAAACGGATGTAAAACGGATGTTTGTATGAATAAGAAAATGACGCTATTGTCTGGAATGTCTGAAAGGTCATCCTTTGATAGCTTTAACACGAAATGTTACATAGGAAGTTACTAAAGCTTGTATTTTTGTATAAGTATGACAAAGAAATGGTGTTTCACTTCTTATCTTGCTAGTCTTTTCCAAGTTTTATGACATGGCATGCTATTCAAATAATGGTAAATGTTTTCAGTAGTATTGGAATACATCAAAACACTAATAAAACAAGTCATTTGTGCACTTTAACGCTTCTTTGTACAAAAATCAAAAATGGTTGCTTACTGCTATCGTGTCATTTACTCGACACAATGGGAGATTTTCGGTACTCAGACATGTCTCTCAGTCCTAAAGTCAACTTCACAATGCCAATGTATTATAAACTTCGTCTTATACCTTAACTGCAATAACCACTAATCTTACATCACGGTACGCAGCAATTTCATTGCATTGCACGCCAGCGAATACAGCTTATTAGAGAGGTCAGAGCCCTCGACAGAAAATTGTAAACACTATATATTTAATGTTTACAGACTGGCTATATTCGAGGGCACAATTCACTAACTTTAATGCTTATACAAACTTCCTTGATGCAAGAATAGTGGTAATTGCAGTCAAGTTAGAAGTAGAAGCTCATAATAGCTTGACATTGTAAAGATGACTTAAAGGCATACTTTCTCTTTGGATGACCACAAAAAATGAAATTTCTAAACGTGGCCAAAATGAGACTTAGTACCAGCAATGACTGGTGTGGTTTCAGGCAGGGTATACTTACTCTTCTGATCACTTGATGCCACTTTTCATCATAAAATGCTTCCGCATGGGGATGCGGTTGTTGGCAACATTTTTTCTTATCATAACATAGCAATTATTGTGGATAAACCCATACCACTAAGTAATAATCCATTAAACTAAGTAATTTTGAAACATGCTTAGAAGTGTTTTAAATAGAGATTCTATTCTTTAGTCCGGGCACCTGGGAAGTCCAACTGATGAATATATACACTAATTGACCAATTTGAGACTTTATATGTCCATTCTAAGAGGTGGTATTCCTTTAAAGTCTGATGTATGAATTGTTATGAAAATCACCCAGATTCCGCTGCAACTTTCATACTAAGATGTTGTTATTCTGAGCACTGTGCTCTCTAATCTAATTTTCCTCTTCAAAGATTACTAATAAGCTCCGACTAATGGATTTCATTTGTTCAACGTTTTGTAACAATTTCAGAGTGCCAACATATATTCTCTCGGGATTATTTTTGAAGAGAATTTTCAATTTTCTTTTGCTGAAGGGTTAAATGAAAAACATGCTTTATCTCTAAACACGCGAAGATTGTATAAACAATAGTTATCTATATCATAGTATTAGGTAACAAGCTTTTACATAAATATTCACTTGTGTATATTATGTTATGAATATATTGAAATTGATTCAAGGTTTTTCGTACTTACAGAACGATAGAGTAAACATATAAACTCCGTAAACACTCCCCTTTCCCTACTCAGTACTTTAATCTGATTGAGACAGATCCATTTCAAGTGTATAAATAAATGTGTCTCACAATTTGAATGTCCCACTAAAGGGGCGTCCAAAGTTGTAGGGTGTTTAGTTTAACTAATGAGGCGTCCAACTAGTAGACTGTTTAACTAAAGGAACATCCAACAATTAGGGTGTTTAACTAATAGGGCGTCCAACAAGTAGGGTGTTTAACTAATGGGGCGTCCAACAAGTGATTGTTTAACTAATGGGGCGTCCAACTAGTGGGATGTTTAACTAATGGGGTGTCCAACTAGTAGGGAGTTTAACTAATGGGGCGTCCAACTAGTAGGGTGTTTAACTAATGGGGCGTCCAACTAGTGGGGTGTTTAACTAATGGGGCGTCCAACTAGTAGGATGTTTAACTACTGGGGTGTCCAACTTGTAGGGTGTTTAACTAATGGGGCGTCCAACTAGTGGGGTGTTTAACTAATGGGGCGTCCAACTAGTAGGCTGTTTAACTAAAGGAACACCCAACTATTAGGGTGTTTAAGTAATGGGGCGTCCAACAAGTAGGGTATTTAACTAATGGGGCGTCCAACTAGTAGGGTGTTTAACTAATGGAGCGTCCAACTAGTAGGGTGTTTAACTAATGGGGTGTCCAACTAGTAGGGTGTTTAACTACTGGGGTGTCCAACTCATAGGATGTTTAACTACTGGGGTGTCCAACTTGTAGGGTGTTTAAATAATGGGGCGTCCAACTAGTAGGATGTTTAACTAATGGGGCGTCCAACTAGTAAGGTTTTTAACTAATTGGGCGTCCAACTAGAAGGGTGTTTAAATCATGGGGCGTCAAACTAGTAGGATGTTTAACTAATGGGGCTTCCAAGTAGTAGGCTGTTTAACTAATGGGGCGTCCAACTAGTAGGATGTTTAACTAATGGGGCGTCCAACTAGTAGGGTGTTTAAATAATGGGGCGTCCAACTAGTAGGATGTTTAACTAATGGGGCGTCCAACTAGTAAGGTTTTTAACTAATGGGGCATCCAACTAGTAGGGTGTTTAACTAATGGGGCGTCAAACTAGTAAGGTATTTAATTAATGGGGCGTCCAACTAGTAGGGTGTTTAACTAATGGGGCGTCCAATCAAATGGGGGTGTTTAAGTTACAGAACAACCATGAAGTAAAATTAAATGGAGTTTTATCCTCGACCCTTCTGCACCCGATTACAGATCAGTAGGACATGAACCTTTCATTAGATTACAAGAATAAATGGGTTGATATCATGTAAAGAGGTGGTGATATAAATCACGATCTGTAAAGAATGAAGAAACTTAAAAGATTAAAATCGAAAACCAATACGGAAAAATTAAAGGGATTGTAAACAGATTTTTAAAAAAAATTATGTGTATCGGGTTCACCGATAGTGTCATTTGCACCATTTCAATTTTCAATCAGACATTTCAGTCGTCTGTGGTTATTGCTAAACTAAGTCTTTGATGACGTCACTAATCGCGAAGGGCCTTAAGTGATAAAGCAAATTTTGCGATTAGTAAAACTAATAATTGGAATTGATGCTATCATTGTCTTCGATATACATAAAGAATTTAGAAAATCTCTTTACATCCCTTAAAGATTACTGAGACAGGTGAGAATGGGATTAAGATGCAGGCTACACTCACTTAGTCGAGTCACTCACAGAAAAAATACGAAACGCAACATCAAAAAATGCAAATCTGAGGCTTTTTTCTCGAAAACTTAACTAAAAACTAAAAAACTTAAAATATTTACAAATATTAATTTTCAAGTATTTAAAATGAAAAACAAGTTTACGAATATAAACTTACAAATATTGACAATGAAACACAAATTGATAAAAAACAATAAGACAGTGAAATATAAATCTACAATTATTCGCCATGAAATACAAATTTACAGTAAAATATAAATTTTCAAATAATTTTTCATAATAAGCACAATGAAATACAAATTCATACATCTAAATGTGTGGAAAGGGGCGTATTATCAGGTCGGTGTCAGTCAAACGGTTAATCTGTAAAAGATTATTTTAAGAGACAGATTCCCCATCCTAGTTACTTAATCAATTATAATTTTTTTAAAGGGACATACTCGCCATTTGTTTGGTCTCAGAAAAGGTTTATCTAATCGATAATAGGTTAACTGTTGAAATTTGAGCCATCAATTCCATGTGTGTCCAGAATTATCTGTGTTTGAATGTTAAAATGACGACTCGTCCTTTATTGAGACTCCGCCATATATTGAAAATACATGTATAGAAATAGAATAGTTTAAGGTAAATTTGAAGGAATTATGGGTTTTTCGAGTATTTCTGGTCCTTCTGAAGACTAATTACATATATTCAAGACCCAAATCAACCATTGAAAATGGCGAAACCTAGCCACCTATTGTTTCTAATAGCTTCACTGACTTTATTTCCATGATATTTCTTCGATCTGTTTGATGTCACATTGGACCACAAACTGACCGCTAGAAGTTAAATAACCATTTTTGGTATCAGTGAGTTCAGAACAGGTGATAGGATTCCACCAAGACCAATGATTCCAAACCCAACTGACATCTCTCTTTACTATCAAGTCACTATATTTTTTAGTTATAGTTTTACTGTCATCATCAATATTCAATAAACTGATTTGACCATCAATAATACAATACTTAAGGTCAGGATTGTCACCTGATAATAGTTTAGTATCGATAAAAATAGCACCATCATAACTCCTGCAACCTGCAACACAACTCCATACAACGTTGTTGTATCTGCATTTGTTCTTGCTGTAACAAACCCGTTTTACTCTCTTCAATTCGCTTACCTCAAACTGAAACTGATACGAACTTGGTATGTAAAATGGTTTAGAAACAACGAACCCTAACTGCTTACTGCCCAATGAAACATAATCATACCAAACCCACTGTAAATATTGTAAACTCAGATTGTTATCGTTCCTACTTCTATCCTGTTTTTCTATTTCTACTAAACGAGGCGATTTTAATAAAATGTTTAATGTTGTTTTACTTGAAGGTGGAATATTTGATTCCGTATCATTTAACACATCTATTTCACTTGTAATTTCCTTTTCTCTTTTTTTAACTTTACTCCTATTTTCTTTCAAATTTTTCCTGATGTCTTCAATAATCTGTTCACAACTTTTCCTTAAACCTGAAACAATCTGCTCGGTTCTTTCAGCCACCTTAGCACAGGAATCTTCACACAAGGTTTCCAATTTTTCCAATGATTCTAATAATGTAGAGCGAGATTTCTCCAAATTTCTAATTCTGTTTTGGATGAAGTTTTGTGAATGTTGCAGCTTTTCTATGGCGTTTTTCCGCGTTTCGTCACTTTCTATATCCAGTTTTACATGATCATTGTGTTGTCCTAATATACACTTTAAACACAGTCCTACATTACAATTATTACAGTAATAATCCACCTCCTTCTGTTTGTGGTTGGGACATTTTGGTTTTGTTGTTAAGGAAGATTGGTCTCTTTCCTGTGTTTTACGTTTAGATGTTGTAGCTATATAGTTGTTAGTAAACATCTTAGCACCACCTTCTGGAATCTTTACATCCTGCTTGCAGATCGGACAAGTGACTGTTTCTGTTTTATTACCGATATATCGTTCTATGCACCCCAAACAGAAGGTGTGTCCACAGGGTAAAATCTTTGGTGATTTGACACTATCAAAACATATGGAACATTCTAGTGCGTTATTTATTGAAGCTGTGGCCATTTTATTCTTTTATTAAACACACTGGAGATGTTGAAAATAGAATATCCAGATATAAAACACACTAGAGATGTCCTGGTTGAAAATAGAATATGCAGATATAAAACACACCGGGAATGACCTGGTTGAAAATAGAATATTTAGGTATAAAACACACTGGAGATGTCCATGTTACAAAGTTCGTGTATAAAATAACACACTCGAGATGTGGGTGTGATATATTTTATACTTAATGAAGAAGTTGTAATCTGTTGACGTTCACCTACCAGTTTGATGTGAGACTCAGCGTAGAATAAGAAGTAGTTATGAATAGTCACGTTATATACAGGTTTAGTTCAGATTTCCTAGAAAAGGCGTCTTGTTTACTTTCTGAGGGCCCTGTCACACAATGACAATTAAGTAGGCGTATACCCAGCGTTTGACAATATTGTCGAATCTGCTGCCATGCGTCGAATACACTTTGGGTAAGTGTTGAATAAGCTTTAAAATAATTGAAGCACGCTGGTATACGTCGTAACAAGAGGAGAGCGTATTAACAAGCATAAAACTTTCGACGTATGCTATCATACTCAAGCTATATTACTAACCTATAAGAACTTATGTCGAACTTATTCCCCTTGTAAGATGACGTATGTAGACGTATTTGGCGTTGTTTTGACGAACATATATTATGTTTTTTTCACTTACCAATATCATGAAATGGTGCATTGTCGCCCGATATTTATTATAACATTTCCCCTGAACGCTATCCGTACGCCATTATACGATAGCGAACAATGTTCGGTAAGATCTGTGTTCGTGCAAAGTGCAAAACACCGCAAATATGTCTACATATGCGTTCGAGATAAGTTCAGCGTATACTACGTATGTGAAACGTATGAGCTATACATAGTTATACGCGCAAGATTTTGTGCACGCGCATAAAAAACACATCCAAAGCCTCAGAGTATGTCAGCGTATTAAAGAATTTCCATACGCCGCTTACCCAGGGTGAATTGTTATGGTGTGACACGTGACTTCGCCTCATCAGATATATAGACTATACTTAGAAAAAGCATCTCGTTGGTTCTTAGACCGAAACATATGCCCTTTTTTTAGCCCTGGATAGCTTTATTGAATGTTGTCAGCTAGTGTAGAGACACTAGGCCCTGTTTTGTGGGTAAGGTGAGGGTGTTTTAAGGCTGTGTACACTAATGTATAAACCGCTACGCTACGCGGATTTATACAGTGTACACAGGTTTTTTCTGTTTATACATCGATAAACTGAAAAAATGTTCAGGTCATTCCTTATAATTAAATCAACTCGAATACGTGTTTAAATATTTATCTAAAATAGCCACAAATTAAGGCACAAAATTGGCGCAAAAATACATAAAATTTTAACATAAGGTTAATGAATTAATATTAACAATAGAGACCTCGTAGATAACAGCCAATCAGCGATAAGTAGGTCACCTATTTATAGTCTGCTGTCTACTGCTTGAAAGTTGACGGAGTGGCCACATTTAAAGTTCAATTATTGAAAGACGAGTTCGAAATAAGTCCAAATCATGATTTCGTTGATATTTGGAGAGTGCACATTCGAGGGAATTTGGAAAATACCGTAATCATTCAGTGAAGTGTAGATTTCGGATCTGGTGACGTTTCGAAGGAAAGACATCGACGCTGTGTAGTAGCCACGTCAATCAAACTCAATCATAAAAGTAGTCCATAAAGGGGTGGAGCTTATATTTACATTCCGTTTACACGGATATAAACCGAATTCATGTGACCGCTGTCATATTGCGTGATACCGTGTAAACGGAATCGTGATTTAATCATGTTAGAATAAACGAATCTTCGGAAGTGTGGATAATCCCCATACAACAGGGCCTAGTTTTCCTGACTATACCCCAGCCGGCAACAGTCAAAATATCTATCACAGTCTAGAGTAGAGGTAGATGTTTCGAATTAGTGCGCCCCTAGTTTAAAATTCGGATCAGTCAGTAAATATCTGTATGTATTAAGTGCAGGTATAAAGCTTGTATTACTGATATGTCACAGTGATCTTACACTTAATATTCCATTTTGAATTTTATATGTTTTTTTAAGCACACTAGTAATCAACTAAATCTGGATTATATTCCAGAATGATGTGTACAATAGATTGTGTTCCGTTATTCAATTCTAGTGTGTGGTTCACTGTTGTACTATTTTCTGTTTCTAGACTCACGAGACACGAACTAACTTGAGTTATATTCTATTGGGTGGTTTACAGTTGTACTTTTGTCTGTTTCTAGACAACCAGACATTACCTAACTCTGGGTTATGTTCTAGAGTGTGGATCACTGTTGTACTATTGTCTGTTTCTAAATACACCAGACATGACCTAACTCAGGTTTATGTTCTAGATTGTGGATCATTGTTAAACTTTTGTCTATTTATAGAAATACTAGACTTCGCCTTACTATGAGTTAAATTCTATTGGGTGGTTTACTGTTCCTAAAACACCAGACATTACCTAACTCGGGGTTATATTCTATCGGGTTATCCACTGTTGTATAATCGCCTGCCTGAAACAGCACACATAATCTAACCTTAGGTTATTGTCGAGAGTGTGTTGAGAAAGAAATGTTTAAAAACGGTCCATTTTAAACTCTGTTTTTAGAAAAAAAAGCCCCTATTAACTGTTGGCAACACCACCGAGCCAATCGATAGAAAGGCTGTAATCATTATGGTTGTCAATCCAATAGTTGCATTTACAAATCTCTGTGATACTAGAAAGGAATGATGTCAAGGTATAAGACGCTGTTCGTTTTAGCTTATGAAGATAAACTGACTTAAGCCATAGCTGGAGGAAGTGATTGGCAGGCAAAGTAATGATTCTCTTCTTTTCTTATCCAAGATTTCATTATTAATCCATTGATCACCTCACTCGGCTTACTGTAACAGAGCTTCTGTCTTACTATCTTATTCACCCTTCACCTTGGTGTACTAGTAGCGACAAACTTTCATTATATAGGAATCTATTGGAGAATATTCTTGTTGTAGGTTTCTTTATCTTCTGTCTTACCATCTTATTCAAGAATATTTCACCTTGGTGTACTAACAGCAGCAACCTTCTGTTATATTTAGGAATACATATAAGAAAACAAACGTTCCGAACCTGTCTCGAAGTGTAGACATGAGAATAACTTCAGTAGGGACGCAGGCCGAAAAAGGTCAATTGTCTGAAGATCGCATATGGAATTATAGAACGATTCTGTTGTATAGATATGACACCAGGTAAGTCCACTGATGAACAAAGATTCAATTTGGCAAAAATTTTTTGGTCATCCTAAGAGGTAGTCTACCTTAAAGATATTAATGTGGTGAACGAGTTTGAAATATTAGGAACGTTAGGTCTATTCCCCAGCTACAATAATAAGACACATCTTCTGTCTGTCTTTCTGTTTCAATAACATGTCATCTTCGTATACTAATTATCGGGAACCTCTCCTGAGACGGTTCTGCCTACAAACAAATCATCGGCAGCCTCATCAGTAGTAATCGAAGTCGTAGTCGAAGTCGTAGTCGCAGTCCTAGTCGAAGTCGTAATTGCAGTAAAATTCATATCCGTACTATCGGTACCAAATTAATTTGTAATGCAGCTTCGTCATACGAAAATATTCATAGTTCTTACATGGAAATAGCCACAACCATGTTGAATCTCTACCTCGACTTAATAAGCTGTCCGCATCAACAGGTTGAGAGATATTGGATGAAAATTGCATTGGGAAGGATTTTTTGTGACCGTTTGTACAAGTTTGACTGTTGATATGTCTGTCATACCTTCAGGCTGTAGACAAATTCTTTTCAATCCACTTCTATAATAAGTGGTATTTTCAAACCATCTTAAAGATTTGTAATTAATGATTCAGGCTGGTTAATAATGGCTTCTCTAACTTTATGAAACGATTAACCTAAACGTATAGAGTACAGGGGCACTTGTTCGGTCTATAGATATGTATTGTCGAGAAAACAAATTAGTGATCATCTGAGTTAAGTCAAAACTTATGACATGATAATTTCCTTTCATCATGTCGGTGTATAAACGAGTGTTTGTGTGGAGTTGGGGCTTAGCCATGATATAACAAGGTTATTGACGTTTTACCCTGCAAATATATGGAGAGAGGGGAATGACTTTCATTGTCTGCACAGATCACTGACATATTAGCTCCTCCCTTAGCACCATTCGAAACTACGCATGGTTCTTACATGGAAATAACACACACAAACGTAGTTCACAGCCACAGACTCTTCAGTCGAATTTTTAAAATGGAGTTATATTTCAGCAAAGCCTTCAAATAACATTAAAAGGCTTACAAATGGCCCTGATTGTGATTTGAAGGCTTAGTTGAAATATTAGATAATATTCTTTTTAAAAATTCGCCTTTTTAAGTCGAGATAGAGATTCAAAATGACTGTTAATAGTGGCAGAGCCAAAGGGGGGCAGACACCCCGCTCGAAGCCCCGAATGCAAGTTTTCGGGCATGACTTTCTAAGTTATAAATTCGGGCAACCTCAGATATTTCGCCCCCTCGGACGTCAACCTGGCTCCGCCACTGGCTGTAAACTACCATCGTGTGTGTTGTTTCCATGTTATTTAATTGAAATGAATGCAGTTTTACGTTATTTCCATTTAAAAACCACACGTAGTTTCGTATGCTCTTAGCACGAGCCTCAACAATAAAACTAAATCGTATTCATGTAAAAAAAAATAGGTTATGGAAATAGCACGAACACCAGGTCTCACTAGTAGTCTCAAGTTTCCATGTCTCAATATAATAAACTCCTACCATTCATTGAAATTATGTGACAATTAATGACAATCAAGTAAACATCCTATTTTTTCTTAATAATAATTAGCATGCAAGGTCTCGGTTGTTAAATAGGTTCAACTCATGAAAACTGCCCTATAAATATTACTAACCATCCACGTGTTTTGTACCAGTTACTTCCCTTGAGATATGGCACGTTTTATTTACAAGTTTTTATGTTTTAAAGATATTAACCTACTTAGATAAACGCAATTACAATACAAAATAAAGGTCACTTCCTTTGTGAGGTGTAATGTCGTGTTCTTTAAAGTCCCACCAAGCAGTTTTGCCTACATATACATACGAAGTCAAGTGGCGCTCTTATATGGACACACTCCGGTAAATCATTTGCCATCTGTTTCCATGTTAAATCTCAAAATTTAACCTTCTATAACTTTTTCCAGACATCTCGTTGAAAACCTTTCAATACGTCACATGAAAGCCTGACTAATGCTTCGTTGCTTGACTGTCACTGTACACAAAACGACTATTTTTAGAATTATCCTTCCGCCTTTTAGGTCTCTCATCATCTCACAAATTCTGAAAGAAAATGCAATTTCAGACATCAATTTCCAAATCTAGACCAAAAATTAGTCAAAAATAGGTATGGAAAAAACGGAGACGGAGGATTCCTAAAACGGAATGGATTACATTCGTTCATTAGCATGAAATGTTTTACTGGAGTCGGTCCTATCGGATTACTAAGTCTAGCGAACTGTTTAGTAGCATGTAGGTTTCTACTCTCGAGTACAAAGATCAGCTTCGTGAGTCGTAGCCAGTTGTTCATCGATACCTCGTGCATGCTTCAAGAAAACTTGTCAGTTTACCATTTCATAACACCGGAAAACAATGGGAGGTGCACCCCCACTTATACCCTACGTTATCTTTAACAATTTCTAGAATATGATTTTCCTCAAAATATATGTCAGAATGAACCAAATGTAAGACGTAGCAAGGGAGGTTGTCGATCAAGCGCCTTCACCGAGTCTCAGCATTATGAATTCATCATCGGCAGTTGTTCCCCATTGGGTCAGTGTGCCCCTATTTGTACCCCCAGGCTTTGGCACTTTTTGAAACATTGAGAAGCATGAGGAGCAAGTGTATCTATATTCACATCAAATAATATTTTGAGTTTTGCTTTTCGTTTTTGTTTTGTTTTATTTTTACATTGGGACTTAACTATTTGGACCAATTTGTCAACTTGACCGATGAATGCTAACATTTGTTTGAAAATTTCATTTCGAGTGTATTTTTTTCAATTTCAGTTGCTGTGGTTGTGGCCTTCTTCGTCTGTTTTGCTCCATTTCATGCTCAAAGACTAATGACTCTGTATATTAAACGAGAGCAATGGACACCTGAATTGCTCACTGTACAAAGTTACATCTTCTACGTATCAGGTACGTTGGTTTATCACCATCTTCACAATGTCAAGCTGTTACGAACTGCGTCTAATACCTTGACAGTACAGCAATAGGCACCTTTCTTGTGCCACGGAAGTTTGTAAATGCAGCCAGTTGGATGGATTGCGCGTTAGCGCACGCAATCTTTAAACAATAGGCCATGATGTTTACAGTCTATCTGTCGAGGCCTCTGATTGGCTGTATTCGCTGGCATACAATCAAATCAAATATCTGCATTCCGTGATACAATTGCAGTCATTGGTATAAGTACGAAGTTCGTAATAGCTTGTACATATTATGGATGGCTAATTATCACAGGAATGTTGTCTAATTGTCAGCTTAATCAGCCTCTGTCTGACTGCTTTGTTTTCAAAATGGCATTTTGAAAAGCTTAAGTGACGAGAAGGGGTACGAAGCACTAGGTTTTCAACGGAGTGATAAAAAGGCGCTAAAATAAGCATTGTTAAATTTAAGTGTCGTAGATTTTCATACTACAAAACGAAAGTATTCAATTTTTGTTGACGTCAATATTATGGAATCAAATTCATTTTAAAAATGAAACGAAACAAATTAATATTTCTTTTTTTGCTTTGAGATATTTTCCTTCACATTTTCTGATTCAATTCGTGTTTAAAATAGCAATAATCTCTTTTAAAAAAAATGGGGCACACAATACAACGTACAGTTTTCAACTACTTCTATCAACTTGTGTAATCTCGGAGATGTCGGTGGTTAACCATGTTCTAGTTTATTTTTAACAAACATTAAAAAGTTGTCGTCGACCAGAGCGGGATTGGAAACGGTATCCATCTAGCTTCTTGATGTAAGTGTCGCCTATGTCGACTAAAACGGGTCCTATGATTTCAGTCGGCCTATAAAAATCTTTAAAATTGCCCGTTTATATTGACTATTGACTATTGTCACTATCTGAATGTTTTCAAAAATGTTTGTAAATGGAGTCCTTTCTTATGACTTAGAGCATTATTATTATTTCACGCTATCAGGCGAATGACAAATCTAATGCCAATATCGCTTTAATTTATAAGATATTGCACAGTTTAAATGTAACCTCAATATTATCTACAAAGATTTGAAAATTGTCCTCATTTTCTAAATTATAGCTAATTTCGATCATTTTTTTTCTCTTGCAATTGCGTGGTTATAAACCGCATTTACTACAATTTACTACGCTGTACCGATTAGAGGATTTTGATTTATATTTAATACAGATTTGTCATTGAAGGTATTTGCCTTCATAGTGACATTTAGCCTTATTCAAAGATAATGCCACGTCATTTAGTTCATTCTTAAAAAGTTCTATATCACTCTACAATTGGTGTATTGAGCACTCTTATAACAGTGGTATTTTTATATCACTCTACAATTGATGTATTGAGCACTATTTTAACAGTGGTATTTTTATATCACTCTACAATTGGTGTATTGAGCACTCTTATAACAGTGGTATTTTCATATCACTCTACAATTGATGTATTGAGCACTCTTATAACAGTGGTATTTTTATATCACTCTACAATTGGTGTATTGAGCACTCTTATAACAGTGGTATTCTTATATCACTCTACAATTGATGTATTGAGCACTTTGTTAATAGTGGTATTTCTATATCCCTCTACAATTGATGTATTGAACACTATTTTAACAGTGGTATTTCTATATCGCTCTACAATTGGTGTATTGAGCACTATGTTGACAGTGGTATTTCTATATCTATCTACAATTAATGTATAGAGCACTATTTTAACAGTGGTATTTCTATATCTATCTACAATTAATGTATTGAACACTATTTTAACAGTGATATTTCTATATTAATCTACAATTGGTGTACTGAGCACTATTTTAACAGTGGTATTTCTATATCGCTCTACAATTGATGTATTGAGCACTATTTTAACAGTGGTATTCTTATATCACTCTACAATTGATGTATTGAGCATTATTTTAACAGTGATATTTCTATATCGCTCTACAATTGGTGTATTGAGCACTTTGTTAATAGTGGTATTTCTATATCACTCTACAATTGGTGTATTGAGCACTATTTTAACAGTGGTATTTCTATATCGCTCTACAATTGATGTATTGAGCATTATTTTAACAGTGATATTTCTATATCGCTCTACAATTGGTGTATTGAGCACTTTGTTAATAGTGTTATTTCTATATAACTCTACAATTGGTGTATTGAGCACTATTTTAACAGTGGTATTTCTATATCGCTCTACAATTGATGTATTGAGCATTATTTTAACAGTGATATTTCTATATCGCTCTACAATTGGTGTATTGAGCACTTTGTTAATAGTGGTATTTCTATATCGCTCTACAATTGGTGTATTGAGCACTATTTGAATAGTGATATTTCTATATCACTCTACAATTGGTGTATTGAGCACTATGTTAACAGTGGTATTTCTATATCACTCTACAATTGGTGTATTGAGCACTATTTGAACAGTGGTATTTCTATATCGCTCTACAATTGGTGTATTGAGCACTATGTTAACAGTGGTATTTCTATATCGCTCTACAACTGATGTATTGAACATTATTTTAACAGTGGTATTTCTATATCGCTCTACAATTGATGTATTGAGCATTATGTTAACAGTGGTATTTCTATATCACTCTACAATTGGTGTATTGAGCACTATTTTAACAGTGATATTTCTATATTAATCTACAATTGATGTATTGGACACTATTTTAACAGTGGTATTTCTATATCACTCTACAATTGGTGTATTGAGCACTATTTTAACAGTGGTATTTCTATATCACTCTACAATTGATGTATTGAACACTATTTTAACAGTGGTATTTCTATATCGCTCTACAATTGGTGTATTGAACACTATTTTATCAGTGGTATTTCTATATTGCTCTACAATTGGTGTATTGAACACTATTTTATCAGTGGTAATATTTTGTTATTATAGAAATATCAATATTGATTTGATACAAATGCTTGACACGAGGCGGATAAGACAATTAGGTCAAATGAGTTTTAAAAACCCACTTTAATTCACACGGACTATATTAAGTGTAGAAGGGATTTTTCAATCATTTATTATTAGATAATTTGAGAAGTAATAAGTCTACTGCCTGGATAAAGTAGTTCCGTTCTAGCTTGATCTCTACACGGAATCCACACGTCAGCTGGTCACCAACAGCCCACGTCCAATAAGAACAGAATTAACTTAACACACAAGGGAGATTCAAAGGAAATAATTGAAATAAAAGATGGACTCTATAATAAGAAAGTTCTTATGGTGCGAGATTACTTTGACATTTACAGTTATTGACGCGCGTCAAACGCCACATCCTGTGTATGTATCGGAATTGAATCTTTTTTTATGACTTTGTCATTTGCCCTAACAGTTGATCAGACATGGCGTTGCTCTGGTCTGTATTGATTGTTGGTTCAAACTTTCGGTTTTGTTTTCTATTATCTTAGGTAAGGGGGCTGGATAAGACCACAGAATTGCCAAGACCGGCTTACAAGCCATTCTTTCCCAATGGTGATTCTTAATGATAAGAATGGCTGGAAAATTCGGGCCAGCATCTTTTGTGTGGGTCAAGCCCTCCCCACCCTCGTAGAAACACAAATGCACTCTACCTGGTGCAATTAAGCCAAGTCATGATATTCCGACCCTTAATGCATTTTCGATCATTCAGCCCTCTGTGAAAGCTGCCGATCAGTAAAAACCAGGGGCCTTATTCTGGAAAACTTTAATAAGATAAAATCCAGATTTTAAGAAATACAATAATCTAATTGGATAATTAAACTTAATTTAAAATTGATTTGAGCGATTGACCAATCAAATAACTGTAACACTAAAATCATCAAGTTTTCAAGAATAAGGATATGTTGCATTGGGATAGCAATGACTGTAACAGTAAGTTAAGTTTTCAAGAATTAGGACCCAGGTGAAGAAAACTGAGTCCTTAAATACGTGCTTGCGTGACTCAAAATGAGAAATCTGATTTATTGATTGAACTTATTTCAAATAGTTTTTTTTTTCATTTTACGTAACTGATGAGAATTTAAAACGACATTTTGTTACTGCTTCTCGAGAGACTGAGACACGGTAACAAGAGATAATGAACTTGTGGGTGTTATAGCTAGTAATAGAACATTGACCATGCGCTTAAAGTGATACTACGTCTAAGAATGAACACAAAATTTAATTCTCAAGAATGGTCAATACGAGTATATATTTATCAGTGAACTTACCTGGTGTCATAAAGTTACAACAGAATTCCTGTAAAATCTAGAAAATTAGAAAAGTCATAAAACTAAGTAATTATTGAAAAACGCTTAATCATTATATTATGCTCTTATTGGCCACGTTTAAAATGTTTATATTTATGTTTATTCTAAGACGTAGTACCCCTTTAACATATCAATATTAACTGGAGTCAATGGGGGAAAACTGAATATGTAACCATGATAGTAAAAGGGTTTGTAAAGACGTTTTCTGAACTATTTATGTGTACTGGAGGCGCTCATAAGACCAATTTGCACCATTTCAATATTCAGTCCGTTGAGATATCATTACCAGCGTCTGCTCAGTTTTCATAGAATTTGGTATTACAAATCGCCACTTTGAGTGTTCCCGGTGCACATACAAAACTGAGAAAACCGCTTCACAATCTCTTTAAGATAGTTATTATAAACTTATTATGGAATCAAGAGTAATTTACTACTTTAATAGGTTTTTTCCTTGTGATCAACCTATTAATTTGTATCTCAATAAACGTTTATTGGAAATCAGCCGATTAAATCTAATTAATGTTTTTTTTTTCGTTTCGTTTCAGGTGTTTTATATTTCCTGAGTTGTACGTTAAATCCTATTTTATACAACATGTTATCTCGTAAATACCGCCAGGCCTTCAAACGGACGCTGTGTCGCTGCTGTCTCAACATTCATTCACTTCCTGCATTCTACAAACTTAAAGCTATATTTATTGGTAAAGATGGCGCTGCTACGTCATCTCAACCAGACGACAAACTTCTTGGCATTCATCCTGTCAAAGCGATTCGATTGACGAAATTCAGTCAGCAAGATTTCAGGAAACATCAACCATCCACTAAGGAAACTTCCATCAGACAATCTTATTCTGGATCCAGTTCGGGTAGTGCGCATGCCCATTCAGACGGTCGTCTGCAGCAGTTATGTAGACACAAATATTGCAATAGTCACCGTGCAAGATTCAGTGCGTTAGAGAATTCAAGTTGGTGCAGGAATGAATTCATTTCGTTTCCGGAAAAAGTGAACGGTACAAAGGGAAGCTACTCTTCGGACAAATATAACTACATCCGGTTTTCTGTTGACGAAGCCGGCGATGGGAAGAGTGAGATGAATTCTTTTAGAGTTAACCACAGTTGTGCTTTATAGACTTCCAGTTAATGGCTGGAATTACAATACGAGAAAGCTGGCTAATTGACACGAAGGGAATTTCAGTGCTCAAGAAATTGATTCGTCGTTTTGTTAAGTAAATGGATTTATAATGGATTAAAACTAAATTCGGACTAATTAGGAGAATCAAGGCAAGGACGTAACTCAAATATATATTTTTAACAATTCAAATGAAATTATTGACCAGTCCCTGTAAAGCTTTTGAATGGTTACAATGTAGTATTCACAACAAAAATGAAATAATTGACCCACCATGAAAAGAGACAATTTCAGTGTTGACCAGTCAGAGCGTATGTAAGAACCTTACACGAATTAACTACTAACTTTCAGAATTACAAGTTGTAATTGTAACACTGTTATTTTAAGATTTTCACGGGTATATATTGAAGGACTTAAGACGCGATGAAATTTTGGACCAAATAAAAAAATTAAAGGCTGATTTCAGTGTTCATCAGTCGGTGTGTGGTCTTTCTCTTCCTCTGTTTGCTCATAACCAGAACTATTCTGTGAAAACTTACAAACCTGGCCACGCTTTCACGAAACGATCTTGCTTTAAGATGTCCTAGAAACAGTGTCAGAAGATAAGGCCGTAGGACATATTAGCGCTCTGATCGTTTCGAGAATACGCGGCCAGCCTCTGAGATTTAAGGTTTACGTCAGAAAATTCCGTTAACTTTCCTGTGCTTTGCAACCCAACAAAGGTTATAGCAGACACATTTCCTTCAGTTAACACGATAATCCATCTTGGAGAGAAAGAAATGGTAATAAACTATAGTGATTATCATTTTCATACACTGGCAATCAGAATATCTCAACCACTGTATTCCACTTATAGGTACCAGTGGCGTTTCCACAGGGAGAGCTCGGGGGTCATTTTAAATTTCTTACTATTAAACATAGGAAAAAGGAAAATCACGTGGCCCCTTTCATGTCCTGTCACCTTCTGCTCCATAGAAACGTCCCTGTTTCTCATACAAATAGAAAGGTGTTCATATTGGCGAAGGTGTTTATCATAATCTTTTTAAAGATATAAAGTTATTATGAAATCAAATCAAGAACAAATATGTGAAATATTTCCATATCAGATCAATAAATATCTTTATTTATAATTTCTGGAATATTTTATCAAGATCAAGAAATACTCAGTTGCTCAGCTACCATGGGGACTGGTTGAACCGGGAGAATGCAGGAGAGCGTGTGTAAATTTCCCGGGGGATGAGGCCAACCGACGGGTCCCGACTCACCTAGTTGAACCACTGAATACACTTTCGGATTCTTTAACTTGGTTTCCCTTGTCAGTGATGCAGGTCGGGATTAAAAACAGCGTCTACTCATTCGGATGATACATAAAGGCCCAAGGCTAAACAGGGCACGCATGTTAGAGATCCATTTACAATGGGACATCGCAAAAGAGTGGAGTAATACCTCTAACCTAGCAAAATGACGTCTACATTCACATGCAGATAAGTAGGATGTAAACCACCATTTAACTTCTAGTCATAATAGTCATAATACATCGACGAAATCATATATTGTACAACATCTCAAATTTTGACGGTGAGCTGCGAAGACTGACAATTCCTTTTCTATGACTAAAGTATAATTGGTCAATAAAAATTGCGTATTTGTCGTTTTAAGTCCGGCATAAAAATGTTCCTTGTATTCTCATTTATGCTTACCAAATAATCAAACGAAAGTTATGATTGAAAAGAAAAAGGAAACAGTACAAGCTTTCAAACAGCTTTCAATGAGTAGACTGGTAAGGCAACAAAATAGGAATTTTAAAATAATTCTTGACGTTCAGAATAGAGAAAACCTGGCCCTAGGATTGAAACAGTTAAATCTTTTTACTATTTCAGAAACATTTGTTCGAAACAAATCATTCTTTATCTTCAAAATTTTACACAAACAATGTCCAAACTATCTTAATGATTAATTCTTATATAACAAGAATATTTTGAGTCTCTGAATACAAGACTAAATGTGTACAGACCTAATCTTGAGATTGTTAAAAAAAGCCTTAGATATTCTGTTCTATGATATATCATAAAAAATATCACAAATGCATCCTGCAGTTTCAAGAAAATAATAGCATTATAAGAGATGATTAGAGTTCATATAATCCATTCTCTTTCAATTTCTCTTTTTCGCTTGTTTTGTTATTTGGATGTTTTGCCGACAAGGGATGCAACTCTGGTTAACAATCCCGACCATTACTTTCATATCAAGAGAACGAATCAAAAGGGAATTGTCAGTATTCAGACCACTATCCTATTATACCAAAGGGGCATAACCCATCGGCCATTAAGTCGTTCTTTACAAGTAGATGGCTTCTGGTTAAAATTATAAAACTAAATGAACAGATACCTTTGATCAGGGTTGCTAATGAGGTTTAGGATGATACATGTCAAGGCTACCGTATAAATAGTTTAAAGTTAAACCAGAAAAAGAAAGTAAACACGCAATGTAATTATCATTATTTGCTTTATAATTTAGTTCTTATATTTACTTTACTGTTTCCTTCAAAGTAGAGGTAGAAATTAATGGATATTGAAAAACGCTAATGTTTTTTTCACATGCTAACTTATATTTTATATTTATGTTTTACATAGAACCTTCGTGTCTTATGAAATTCATTTATTATGTTAATCTTCGAATGTTTAAAGGGACAGCTAGGCCATTTTTTAACCAATCATACTTTAGTCTCAGAAACTTTTTTTTAGATAAGCTAATCAGTAATAGTGTTCACAGTTCACTGTCGGGCCTTGAAATCCTTGTGTGCCCAGAGTTTGAATGTTAAAATGACAACTCTTCAATTTAAGATACTCTGTGATATATAGAAATAGTGAGTAAAATTCCTAGTTTGAAGTATGTTTAAAAGGATTATGTGATTTTCGTACATTTCTAGTACTTCTGAAGAATAGTAACATATATTCAAGACTACAATCAAACCCCCAAAATGAAAATTTCCAAAGTTTATAAAATATATAAAATTAGAGAAGCAATAATAATAATATAGAGACACTATAAAGTCGACTTATAAATATCCAACAGTCAAAGGTCAAAAGCTACCAAAAGTAACCAGACATGATAATAAATGAGTCCAATAGTGACCGTCACCGTTTGATTGTACACTAGCAAATACAGCCAGTCAGAGGCCTCGACAAAACGTCTGTAAATACTAAGCCACAATGTTTACAATCTTTCTGCCGATGGCACTGATTGGCTGTATTTGCTTGTGTACAATCTAACCAAAGGGCTGCATTCCGTGATTCAAGAAAGGTGACTATTTCAGTCAAGGTATAAGTCGAAGGTCCTAAGAGCTTGACATGGTGAAGTTGCATCAAGAAAGTAATGATATGTTTGTAAGGTTGTTTGAAATAAAAGTTGTTGAGGGCTAACGGTATGAAAACTATCTTTTGAAGCAGGTTTTTCAACCTATTCCCTTTTATTATAAAAATAAAAATACAAACTGCACCATGTGGGCTAATGATGGCGGATTTAAATCCATGACAGCGTATCTGTAGCCGCCATCTTGAATACCAGGTATTCAGCTTTCAATCAAAGAATGAAAAACCTTTTTCATTATTGCATCTTTGAATCCTTCACTGAATGTCAACGAAATTAAATGGCTCGATGCGATTCATGGCGATGGTATGGCTCTGACTGTATGTACATCGGACAGGAAACCGTTCTATTAGGTTCATAGGCTCAGACTCGTTGCAGGGTGTCTATTTCTGTATAGTTACCCACAGTTGGATGAAGATGCTGAATACAAACACCAGTGTTGAAGTTTTGTGACTTTATACAATGTCTTCATAAATTATGGCACAAACACGTTAGAATGTAAACCCTGGATGATGTCTCGTTTAATCATAAGAATGGTTGTAAACCAGGATGTTCGTTTTTGAAAATTTGGGAACGAGAACAGTAAATATTTTATACTTCTGTAAAGCAGAGTTAGATGGTGCCTGTGGAAATTCGTATACCAAAATTTATAGAAATGTGATCTTAAGTTTTCTTTTTCAAAATACCGCCTTCCTCCTCCGACCACAAAACAGAAATTCCCAAAATAGTCAATTACAATTTATAACTTTGCACAAGGAAGTAGACCACACTAAAAATATTAAATAAAATTAACACCACTGACTCTTTTGTTATGTTTTAATGCGTTAAGTGTCCAATTACAGTTTATAATTATAAAGGGCATACGACAAGGGATCAGCAGAATATTATATTTAAGTATAACATGACTGAGACCTAGATTGTGAATCCAGGAATATCCAAGCATTGTACACCTGAAAAAGAACTCGAAATGAATTTCCTGATAATTTGGTGGATTTTGGGGCTGTTGCAGGTCAAAGTTGAAGGTTTGATTTCATATTCTCAAATACTTAAGTTCATCCAACATGCAACAGACGTTTTACTAAAGACAAATTGAATTGGGTCGATCATTAAATATTCAAACATTATTATGTTATTAATATTAGATCTGTGATATAGATATCACATGTATGATTTACAAAACAATAGACATGATAAGGACACGATATCATAGACACAATTTAGAAGTTACAGACATGATAAAGACACGTTATTATAGACACAACTCGATATGGACATGGACTAGACACAAAATATAAGTTACAATTCAGACATGATATAGACACGTTATTAAAGGCACACTATCATAGACACAACATGCAATGGACACAGAATAGACACAATATAGAAGTTACAATTCAGACATGATATATACACGTTATTAAAGGCACAATATCATAGATACAACATACAATGGACACAGAATAGACACAATATAGAAGTTACAATTCAGATATGATATTATAGACATGATATCTGATACACGATTCGGTGCGATATTTTGGACACGATGTTATGGATAGTATCAAATGTGCTACATTATGAATACGAGTTTATAGACATTCACGATATCGACACAATATCACAAATACGATATAAATACGATATCACAAACACAATATAGACACGATAAGATATAGATATGGTAGATACGATGAATTCGATACGATATAATTTACATGATATTATAATATAACTATACATCTATCTAGAGATATATAGGATCTTAGACTAGTGCTGATGTAATACGAAATTTATCAAATGAGTTGCCTGGTTTAATATTTAATCCGGCAACGAATTTCATAAAACTTATATTACATAAGCACAGTGAAAGATTCTATTTATAACACACCTATCAATAAACATATAATTTCCTTAAATTCCTTCATTTTGAGGGTTTTGTTCTGCGGTTTGTATCATTATTACTTGGTTTATTTATTTATAACACACAGTTTTGTTGTTTTGATTTCAGCAACAGAACAATACCTTAACGTAGAGAATTACTCTTCAACTTTTACATCTAGAAATCCAGTTTATTACTTCGCTGACAACGATTACATTGGAAAACAGATTAGCTTTTATTTCACTGCCAGGGCGAGAGTTTTGTTTCTAGAGGCGTTGTACATACACCTTGGTCCTAGATCTTGTGAAAAAGTGAAGGTGTACTCACAAGGTGAGCCAACTTTCGGACTTGGCTGTACAGACTCCGGGATAAGGATGTTTTATAATGGAAATGAACAAATTGGTGGGGAATTTAGTTTTGAAATAACGGATCTGAAATTGGAAAAGGGTGAAGTTTTTTATGTAAGAGTTTCTGGTAAGCATTGAATTCATATATCATCTTTGAGACCTAAGACGGGATTAGGGATTGATGACGTTATAACTAGGGCTGAATGGCCCGATATTGATACAAATTGAACATTTTCTTCGTCGTGTGAGCACCTGGTGTCAATTTCGGGACATTATCATGCAGCCTTTAGCAACGGTGTACGACATCTAACTATTGCTTTCAAAGCCCCATATTTTCGCTATTAATTATACCTCACGGCCAACTAGATAGCAAAATTGATTTTCAATGTCAAGGTCGTTCTTAAAACTAAAAATGGAAGAAAATAATAATGACTAATGATCGAAACCTTTGCCCACAATATCGAGCCTTTGTCATGATATATATATATATATAAGCTTATGTTTTTTAGCCGGGTCGTATGATATGTCTGTAAGTTGCCAAGGTTACCAGATAACAGGTAAATCATTCACAATTTGTTATAGAGGAACTTTAAACTTTTTGTGATTTTTTTTGCTCGAAAGCTGAAAATAGTGCTGTTTGTTAAACTTGAGAATAAAAGAGTAGTATAACCGGTTTACTTGACATATTTTGCAATAACTAATATTAGTCTAAAGCAAAGCTAAGAAGAACTAAATTTGGAGTTTAAAAAAAAAAACAGTGGATGACCCAAACCGTTTGAAAGTAAATATTCCAAATGAACAATATGAGTTCAATGAAATACGAAGAAGATGCCAATTTGACGAATCAGGATGACATGTGTTTCAGAAGACAGTGCCGTAACGTGTATTTTTATTCTGAGGGAAAAATCCTGTTTCCTTGGAAAAACAGGCATGTCTTCCATCCCAACACTTTCGGTAGTCTTCAAACGGTAACCTCCTTTACTGTAGACATCAAATATATAATATATTTAGTGGATATCAAATTGATTTTTTTAATTTTTATTAAAAAATTATTATGATTTGTTTGTATATTTTTTTTTTGTCAAATTCGGTATGAGGCATTTGTTTTCTTTGATTTGATAACACTAGAAACACCCGTCATATTGTGTTTTAGATAAAAGGTATTCATCGAATCCTACCAATAGAGAAATCAATGGAAAAAATTGCAAAGAAGGAGATGAAACCAACCTTTACATCATATTTGGTGGTATTTTAGCTGCTGTGATTGTCATTAATATTGTCTGTATTGGAGTCTACTGTTATATCAGGTAGGTCTCACATCCATTTCAGTCTCAAAAACAAATTATCAATAAAGTCGCACCCAATTCTAAAAACTCCAGTAAATGAAGAATTTCTAAACCATTTTAATTTCAATCACAAACTACAAAACTAGGATGCAGACAACGCACAAAAAAACAAGTGTGCAACCACAATAGGCTGCTATGGCTACTCTAAACACGAACATCAAAAGGGCAAATTTGAACAAGAGGTATTCTATCATATTAACTTCAACAATCATTGCTTGATAAAGACGAAGGTATCATTATCGAAATGTCACAAATTATATATTGAAATGACTGTTATTCACTTAAACGTTCAGTTTCATAATCGACTAGCGCATATAACTGTATACTTTCCTGCCTGCGAACTGAAAAACAAATCTTATTCCTTTGGTTAAGGGGACAGGTGGGCCATTTTCGGGGGGTGATTTTAGTCTTGAATGTATGTAAATAGTCTCCAGAAGTACTAGAAATGTACGAAATTCGCATAATACCTTTAAAAATACTTCAAACTAGGAGTTTCACTTACTATTTCCATATCCATGTATGTCTTTTTTTATATACGATAAGAGAGAAACGCAGAAATTCTGGACTCACATTGTTTTAAGGCCACGATTTCGATGCTGAGCTGTGAACACTATGAATGATAAACTTAGCAAAAACATTCCCGTTTCTAAGACTAAGGTATAATTGGTCAAAACAAAATAGCTCACCTGTCCCCGAAACACCTATCTTGGGTTTTTGATGATTTGAAGAAAATTGAGTCGAGAATTGAGAGTCTGCGTAACTTCAAATTTTTCTTTTTTCATCCTTTCCAGAAGACGGAAATCACAAAAAATGACAATTACCAATATATCTGGCAGTTTTGAGAAGTTTCCATATAGCTGAACCTGCTTCGGTAATAATTGGAAGATTTAGATGTGCATTCTTTTTCTTCCGGCATAATTTGTCAAAGATAATTTACAACCTGAAGAAAATAGTCTATAGCTTTAAAACCTTTAAAAGATAATTCTGACAGTTATTTATGTATTTAATGTAATTATCTGTTATAAGCAATTATATAATATTTAGTCATTTTGAATCTATTTCTTGCGAGGATTTTGTTTTTATTGGCTTTGTTTTTCAAACGACCAGCTTCTGATGTTTGAACTACCAGAATCGTGTGACCACAAACCACAATGTGATGACAATATCAGGATAGTGCCAGCACATTCACAGTATACCAATTGCCACAAATGTGAAACTGTCAAAAACAATAGAGACTACTAACACGATAATTACGTTGACATGGACGATTCTCAAGTTACCAATTCAAACCACAAATACAGACAACTTCCAGTGTAGCATATGAATGCTTGTCACCAAATGCCGTCGGAGTTTGAATACATGAAAGCCCCTATTTCTACCCCTAGTCCCAAGAAGCCATAGAGTCTTTATTTCCGTCTATTTCATACAACTTTACCTATACCTATTAAAGTCCAATATTCCACCAGTTACATCCTTATTCATTGTTCTATTATCTTTACACTTTACTGCACATTTTCACACTCTTTAAACATAAACTTAAAATAACTAGATCGTGTCCATATCACATCTTCTACATAGCCACCATCATTAATATCACATAAGAACTTTCAATGAAAAAATAAAGAACTTTCTTTATAATTAAATCTAGATTCCTCGTCAATGTTCTCAGGACGGATCTGTAGACATCATAAGTTTGATTATAATCGTCGTGTATATAAACTCTATTACGTTTTATAATTATAAATGGCTTTAGAAAAGAACTTACTAATATTGAACAAGGAGCATTGCTGAGATCCTGAGATCTTTGTAAAGTTTCTGTTGGCCTTCAGTTTATAATAGATAAGTTACTAAAGACACAATCGGCATGATATCATATACACGATATCATAGTCATGGTGTTATAGACATGATGTTATAGACATGATATTATAGACACGATATCATAGGCATGATATAATAGCCATGGTATTATAGACATGATATTATAGACATGATATTATAGACATGATATTATAGACATGCTATTATAGATATGATATTATAGATATGGTATTATAGATATGATACTATAGTATGATATTATAGACATGATATTTTAGACATGATATTATAGACATGATATTATAGATATGATACTACATTCATGATATTATAGACATGGTATTATAGACACGATATTATAGATATGGTATTATAGACATGGTATTATAGACATGATATTATAGACATGATATTATAGACATGTTATTATATACATGATATTATAGACATGATATTATAGACATGATATTATAGATATGGTATTATAGATATGATACTATAGTCATGATATTATAGACATGATATTATAGACATGATATTATAGACATGATATTATAGATATGATACTATAGTCATGATATTATAGACATGATATTATAGACATGGTATTATAGACATGATATTATAGACATGGTATTATAGACATGTTATTATATACATGATATTATAGACATGATATTATAGACATGATATTATAGACATGTTATTATTTACATGATATTATAGACATGATATTATAGACATGGTCTTATAGACATGATAGCCATGATATTATAGGCATGATATTATAGACATGATATTATAGACATTGTATTATAGACATGATATTATACACACGATATTATATGCATGATACTATAGTCATGATATTATAGACATTATACTATAGACATGATATTATAGACATGATATTATAGACATGGTATTATAGACATTATAATATAGATATGATATTATAGACATGTTATTATAGACATGATATTATAGACACGATCTATTATAGACATGATATTATAGAAATTATATCATAGACATGATATCATAGACATGATATTATGATCCCGATATTTGCAGCTGTAGTCTTTCGAAAGGGACAAAACCGAAAACTCGTTTGCAACAGTCTGTACATGTTTGTCATTGCTTTGCTCTAAATTGAACTTTGTCCATTTACTTTTTTTTTCTAGGTGGTTTAGCGTCTGAAGATAATTGTGTCAGCACCAATAGCACAATATGTGCACTCTACAATGGTAAACGCACAATGATTGAATGCTGTAAGGACAATATCATACGATTGGAATGGACTGGTGGGACATTACTCTACTTTGAGAAAGATTCATGTTTTTCAGAAGGCAAAAATGTTTTAGACCTTTTAGAAAAAATGAATATCTATAACAGTTGTAGTGGACAGAGTCGATGTAAGGTACAGTTACAGACATCTAAAGAAATATACATACACATTCCAGCAACTTGTGAACCAGGTAAACATAAAAACAATATGTCTATTGACAACCCAGTCTGATGCAGATTAGAATGTTTTGTTCTCTGCTCTGTATCTTATGCTGACTATCACTAGAAAATGCCTGATGAAAAAAAGGCCCTAGGGTTTGTGGCTGCCAAAAGCTCCATAAACCAACGCATTTCAAATGGACTGAAATGAATTTTGACCATCCAATGCCCCACCCCCTAAATACGTCAATGACAGGAACGTCAATATCGCTCTTTTATTGCCTGGAAAACTTTAATATTAGAACAACGTTTCAATAATATAATATCAAAGTACGAGTATGAAGTCGAGTTACTGAGTAATATGTGAAACATCAACATAAAAGTCTAGATACTGAGACCCTGAATCCTTGTTAGCTATTTGATATGCACGCTACAAACAAAACTTTATAAACGCAGTTGAAATTTATTGTGAGTTCTAAAAATCAGACTTTTTTTGAAAAATGTTATAGCCAAATGAAATTCATGAAACAAGATTCACTCCCTTTGAAGAAAAAAAGTTGAAATTGAAACAAGGATAATTCCCTTGAATACGCTTTGACTGTATTTACTTAATAATTGGCCACAGGAAGACAATAATTTGCCTTTTGTAGTTGATACAGAATATTTCTTTATTTTCCAATTTAGCATCTTATCTCGACAATACTAAACAGAGTCTCCCTGCTGATATCTCAACAAAATATGCTATATTTTACATCAATGGCTATGATTCTATTGAAAAGGAGATTACTTACAGTTGCAATGCCAAAGCGGAAATGTTTTTCCTGGAGGTGTTTTACATACATCTTGGCCTTAGATCCTGTGAAAACCACCCTTTGAATTGGTCTGCACGAAATCTGGAGTGACGATGTTTTATAAAAACGTATCGGTAGAGAGTTCTTTTTCGGCGGCGGTATAAACTTGGAAGAGAGGGAAGTTATATATTTCAAACTTGGTGTTGGTAAGAACTGAATTAATTTATTATCAACGAGAACTGAGATAGAAAGACCAATCTTATTATATATCATAATTTATTACAATTTTGTACCTGTTTCTTTTTCGTGATATTTCTGGTTTCCATGGTAATCGAAATAGTTTTCGGTCCCAGAGGTAGCATGGAGACAAGAAAGACAAGAAAGACACGAAATTGTAAACTTGTCTTGTTGGTCTGGCCCTAATCGTGGCGATATCGTATCTGTATATCACGTCCGAGGAATATTATGGCGAGATTTGTCGGGCTAATCCTACGACATGACTTTCAAAATCAAATGTCAAACGTTAATTTTTTTAAATTGCCTCAAAGACAAAAGAGCTCGAGTTCAAATTGTAATATCGACCTTGTTCATCAAACAAAAAATAAGGGTGAATACTTACAGTGATTAGTGGTATATTGATTAGTTTATTTTGGGCACCTTTTACATTTATTTTTATGTATTTCAGAAGCAGGGGGTTTACATTGTCAGTCTAACCAGGAAAGGACCACAAGTAAAGTATTG